AAAGGGCTATTGGCAGATCCCCTTATCTCCAATATCCCGCGAAAAAACAGCCTTCACTACGCCGTTTGGATTGCACCAATTTGTGACGCTTCCGTTCGGGCTGTTCGGGGCGCCGGCGACGTTCCAGCGCCTGATGGACAAAATACTCGGCCCTCACGCAGCATATGCCGCTGCTTATTTAGACGACATCATCATTTACAGTAATGATTGGCAGCGGCATATGCAACATCTGAGGGCGGTATTGTCGGCGCTGAGACGGGCCGGGCTCACGGCCAACCCACGGAAGTGCGCAATTGGGCGAGTGGAGGTAAGGTATCTGGGCTTCCACTTAGGTCACGGGCAGGTGCAGCCCCAAATTGATAAGACTGCAGCCATTGCAACCTGTCCGAGACCCAAGACCAAAAAGGAGGTGAGACAGTTTTTGGGGCTGGCAGGATATTATAGGCGGTTTGTTACTAATTATTCGGCCCTTGTCAGCCCATTGACTGATCTCACTAAAAAGGAGGGACCGGATACCGTCCAATGGTCGGAGCAGTGCCAACAGGCCTTCTCAAAGGTAAAATCTATACTTTGTGGGGGGCCGCTATTGCACGCTCCTGATTTTGCTCTCCCCTTTATTTTACAGACGGATGCGTCCGATCGGGGTCTGGGGGCGGTTCTCTCCCAGGAGGTGGCAGGAGCGGAACGGCCGGTGCTGTGCATTAGCCGCAAGCTAAGTAAAAGTGAGGCTAAGTACAGCACCATAGAGAAGGAATGTTTGGCGATCAGGTGGGCCGTTCTTACTCTTCGCTATTACCTCCTGGGTAGGGAATTCGTCCTCTGTTCAGATCATGCTCCTCTCCAGTGGCTCCACCGTATGAAGGATACCAACGCGCGGATCACCCGTTGGTATCTAGCATTACAGCCTTTTAAATTCAAGGTGATCCACAGACCGGGGGCGCAGATGGCTGTAGCCGACTTCCTCTCCAGGGCGGGGGAGGGGGAGGGCTGCAGGCCGGACGGCTCCCCGGCCTGAGGCGGGCGGTGGGGGTATGTGGAGAGGTAAGCTTGATCGAATACCCAATAAAGGGGGAGAGCATGCTCAGAGCCCGGCGGCTAATCAGCAGGCCAATCCGAAATAATAAGCAACACCTGTTTATTCTAGTGATTGGACCGGAGAGACACCCGTCTTAAGGAGAACGGGAGGAACAGTCGGGAGAGACAGCTGAACGACGGCCACATAGTGGGAGCTGTCCTTGCAGTTGTGACTAAAAAATAAAAAGATCTGTTACTTACATCAACGCCGACCCTGTCTTCTTCTTCCCACACAAAGAACCTTTGTTACACATACCTCTTTAGTTCAGGGAAAAGGTGGAAAAGCATGCTTAAACAATAGTACAACAGGAATGACTGCTTAGACTATACCATCTTGATGTTAATCCCAAGGGGATGAAGAGGTGAAACTACTAACATTTTACAGACTCTTTTTACATTTTTATGAACATAGAACACTTTTAAATTAACAGTAACTAAACAGGAGGAAAATATAGTGAAATCAATATACTTGAAATGATCCTGTGTATGCAAGAGTGTATAGGTGTTTCCCAGTGCTGTGTTGGGACTGGAATGGCATTCACTGCATAAAACATATGCTGGATAAGTTGGTAATTGATTCTGCTGTGGCGAATCCAAATAAACAAAGGGACTAAGCTGAAAGAAAATTAATGAATGAGTATAGGGGTTGGACAAGGAAACTGAAACAATGGTCAGTTTAGTGTTGGAGGTTTCATGGCAAAATTTGACCAGCCTGCAGTCAATTTTTATTGACTGCAAATTCCACCAGTAAGAGCAGAATGTAAAGGTTTAATTAGCAGAGTAATAGCACGGTTTTGCTTAAAATGTTGCAATACACACATTATGTAATATGGTGACATATTAATTAATTATTGTGCTCTAAAACCACACCTTTCAGTTTCCATTGTTCCCTTTAGACGTGTAATACTTTTATTTTAAAAGTAATTTAAACAATACTTAAATAATAAATAAGTTCACAGTATGCACTGTTACTGTTAATCTGTTAGACAAATGTAAAACATGTTTTTTTTAAAGATCAATCTCAGCCCTACACATGCAAAAAGTGTGTTGTGTAACAGAAATTAGCTCATTTTATGAATATAAATAATCAACAATAACGGTTTATTCTTAATTATTAATATTCCGGCTTAAGCTTCAGTCAATTTGGTCAAACAAATTGTATTTGATCCTGCCCGAGCGGACTCTCAGATTATGATTATTAATTATCAACAATAACGAATTACTATTAATCATTAACATTCTGGATTAATTTACTGTTAATTTGACCAAACAAACATAACCAGAGCCGCCGCTCTTCGGAGCGGACACGGTAATGATCTATTCATTTAGAAAAGGGGATTATTGCTACTTCTTGTGAAGTAGATAACAGCTAGGCAGGGGAATCTGTGTTTCAGTGACATTTTCTTGTGAGGCAAACAATACAATTCATTTGACTATAATGGGATTTATTGACTAGTCAGACAGATAACGAACAAACGCACGAACATACATTAAACATAGAACAAAGGTAAACCACGTGGAGATATCAGGTCTATACTAGTCTATAGAACATATAACAACAAAGAGAAATAGTAAAGCGAGGAAATAGAGATTTCAGATAAAGAGTGACAAAACTTTCAGTTCCACACGCACCATTAAGGATCACCAAGATTATAAAAACAAAAACACCTTTTTTGATAAAAGGGACACAGCTTAATCGCATAACTAAAAATACCTGGACTTTAATGTCTGGGGTCTCTCCCTGTATGCTTCCGTCATGATGAAACTCCTTTGATGTCCTTCTGGATGCGCTAAGTTTGCAATACAGTTTGGAGGAACGCGATCGCAAACTTTAAAGCATGCGGAGAGGCATTTAATGCAGGGAATTAAAGAATGTAAGCAGTGGTGATTATGATCATACTCTACGCATCATGTGTTGTAAAATTTCAAGGGCATTCTATTGACACCAAACACTCCACAAGTACATCAACAATTGAGGTACATCAAAATACATCAACATAATTCCCACATCCTTACATCATTGATGCGTTTAAAAGGCCTGAAAGTATGAATTTGTATAAACTATGAGGAATTGTACACATTACAAAAGTTAAGTGTAATTAAAAAAGAGATTTGGGTTCTAAATGTCTTTGTTTAATGTTGAGAAATGTATTTTGTCTGTGAGCAGAATGTTGACTAAAGATGTTTTTTTTTCCTCTTTTATCTTATCTGCCATGTTCTTTTGAAGTCGGCAGAGAGTGGTTTAAGACAGTTCTGTGAAGTGTCCCAAACTCGTTACTTGTCAGCAGGGTTTTTTTTAGGCCAGACTTTTCATCTCCGAGTGCTTTGAATTGTCCTGGAAATTGAACCCAGACCGTTTTCATGGAATGTTAAACGGAATGTTTACCTCCAGAATATATGTTACAATATGTGTTACCAGTTATGTTACAGTGGTTATGCTAAATAATTTTGTAAATTGAGTTAAATAAGTGTGAATTTAAGAGTTACATTTTTTGGTTCAATAAATATCCACTGTTTCTCTACATTAACATTGATTCATTGTCATTTCCACAACACCCTGTAATTTCTACCACCACCCTGTCATCCATCACCTCACAAATTTCTTTAAAAATATTAACATATTTCTCATCACACATTAAAATCAAATTCAATTTATTTACTTTCTAATAGGCTATTAACCAAATCAATATTAAATTTTAGAGTGTGACAGGTGTACAATTCAGCATTTGGTCCTAAGGGAATAATTTGTTTCATTGACAAATGTATAACTAATGTACATTGAGGAAAGAATTGGTAAACTAATTACAAACATAATCTTAGACATTTTTTAAATGCCATAATTGATTTCCTTTTTAAATAACAGCGCAGTGAGTAGCATGATTGGTTCACAGCAAGTCTCTGGTTCGAGCCTCGGCTGGGTCATTGGCATTTCTGTGTGAAGTTTGCATGTTCTCCCATTGTTCACGTGGGTTTCCTCTGCGTGCTCCAGTTTCCCCCACAACACAAGTCCAATGACATGCTCTATAGGTGAATTGAGTAAGCTAAATTGTTTGTAGTGTATGTGTGTATGGATGTTTCCCAGTGATAGGTTGCAGCTGTAAGAGCATAAGTTGGCGGTTCATTCCGATGTGGCGACCCCTGATTAAAAAAGTGAATAAGCAAAGAAAATGAATGATTAACAGCTGTATATTGTGGAGGAAATGTCGGTTGTTCATTTCATGTCAAAAAAATAGTTTACAACAATTTCTCTTCTTATCTAAGTTTGTGTACTTACATATCTTAAAACTAGACAAATTGTTTAAACTTATGAGGCTATTTTTGTTTTTTATTTGTTTAAATAAATAAAAACCTTTTGTTGTATTAACTTACACATAAATAAGATTACAATGAAGGCTGTTGCAGATGTGCAGTTGTTAATTGTAGCATGCAAAGGCAACTAAATGTTAAGCCACCACATGACAGGAGGAAACAAAAGTGTTGGTGAATATTCATGCTCACAGCTGAAGAGGACAAGTAATCAGTGCAAATGAAGGGTCTGTTCACAAGATGAGATCTCCATGTCCAGAGTTCTCCCAGCTGGGCCGAAACTCTTATTACTGACAGACAAAGAACAGCCTCTCAGCAGGTCCTTTGCATTTCTCATTATATTCTGGGAATGTACATCCACCACGATTCAATTAGAGCCAGGGCGATTCAATTAGCATCCAGAATGATTTGATTAGGATGATTCTAAGGGCCCAACAGAACCCTATAATTTGGTGTATGATTTCGACATTTAAATAGCCTCTGCACTGCGATCCATTAGGGCCTATACTACAATAGCCCCTTTCACACAGTGATACCGGTAAATATCCGGAAAATTTCCGGAACGACTTTACCGGTATATTCAAAAAAGCGCTGTTCACACAGGCGAGGACGTTCCGGAAATTTTCCGGAAAAGCACCATTCACACATGCATTTCAAAATACCGTTAAATTCTGTGACATCATTAACCACTTGCCCTCGAAGTTAAACAGCTGGGATTGTATTTACAAACATGGAGGGGATTATGCGATCTGTATTTTTGTTGATGATTTCATTTATCTTTCAAAATTTTGTATTCATGCACCTTCTTGTGTCCCAGAGGCATCGTTACAGACGACTACAAACACAATTGTTAAACTATAGACGAAAAAATGTTAACGCTAGCATCCAAAGGCAGAGGCGCTACCTGCAGCTTAAAAAGACCGTAATGTTTACATATTTGGCTACAAAGAGTTCTGTGCGACGAACATGGGCATTTCCGCGGATCCACGGGAAAGTATTTTGGGGGAATATTTTGAATAACTTTGATGACGGTATGTGGATGCAGCATTTTCGCATGTCAAGAAACACATTCGAGTTCGTGCTGCAGCTACTAAGTCCATCTCTAAAACGGAAAACTACCGGCTGGCGAAAACCGCTGGAACCCCGACTGAGACTTGCTGTTGTGTTGTGGTGGTACGCCACCCCGAGTGAATACAGGACCATATCTTGCTTGTTTGGCCTTGGAATTTCTACTGTCTGCATGCTTGTTCGTCAGGTAGGCTACGTCAAGTTTATTTGTAGTAGAACTCTAGATATATGTGATTAATACGCAAATAAAATGTTATCTATCTATCTATCTGTCTATCTATCTATCTATCTATCTATCTATCTATCTATCTATCTATCTATCTATCTATCTATCTATCTATCTATCTATCTATCTGTCTATCTATCTATCTGTCTATCTATCTGTCTGTCTATCTATCTATATTAAAAACTCATTCATTTTCACAAGAGTAGCTTATAGTTTTAAAGTTGTTCACCTAAAAGTTATTTGCTATTCATTTATTTTGTAAAATAGCAAAGAGCGTTGTAAAAAATGAAACAATGTAACACAAATGTAGCTAATCAGTTTAACTTCACCATCAGGTAACAAATGCCCTGAAGACCCTTTGCGAGCGCTTTATATGCCTGCCCAAAGGAGAGCGTCTCCAAAAAACCATTGATGGCTTTTTTGCCCGAGGCTACAAGATGTGCGCAGGTGCCATCGATGGGTGCCACATACCCATCCTTAAACCTCACGTGGACCAGGCTGCCTACTGCAACCGTAAAGGTTGGCACTCTATAGTGTTGCAGGCCGTTGTGGATCACAACTTTTGGTAAGTAAATGTAAATATGTGAGAAAGTATATAGTTCTTAACACATACTGATTTGTGCCACAGCTGCCCAAGTATTCGTGATGGCCAAAACTATTGTTTATGTTTCTTTAATGGGTAATCCATATAAGTCACAGTAGAGTTTCTAATGCTAAAATATAGTATTTAATTTATTGTTTAATTAAAATGCAATGCGGTTTATATTGTATTTATACCCAATTACATGCTTTTACTTGTGGTAGAAGAAATATTTTAATGATTTAATTTATGTTTGATTAATGTCTTAACCTCTGAAAGAAAGTGAAATTTATACAAATTTGTGGTATAAAAACATGATTTGATCAAATATTATTTTATTTTGTTATTTGCCTAATAAATAGCAGTACAGTTTTTAGTTTACATTTTCTTCACACAAAATATTTATTGTTTTCTTATCACAAGCCTTCTAGATGACATGCTGATATTGCAGAAACCTGTTCCAGTAATGTACTACATAAGCTATATGCTTACAGTGCTATTGTTATCTAACTTTGATAATTAACTGTTCGCACATGGACATTTGTTAAATGCTGTTTATCTTTAAATAATATTTATGTTTTGTTTTATTAATATTGAGATAATTATTATTTTTTCAGTTTTACGGATGTGTATGTGGGTTGGCCAGGTCGAACTCACGATGCAAGAGTGCTAGCCAACTCACCTATATACCAAATGGCTGAGGCTCATGATGGGTATTTGTTTCCTCGTGAGGTACACCTTTTATAATATTATTAAGTATTACTTATTTTATTAAAGTTGACTAAACATATATTTATGTATTAGTTAACATGAACTAATGGTGAACAACTAAATTAAGCATTACATAATCTTAAATGAACTTAATCTAATGCACCTCTTTTCATTAACAACTTAATTAGGTAATGTTTATTTACATGAACACTCTACGCATACATATATTTGTTAATGGATTAGATAACTTGACCTAAGACAATTTTTTTTTGTACTGAATTTTTGCTAATGTAAACCTACAGTAAATTAAAATATGAGTAGTTAACATTAACAAAGATTAAGTTATGCTTAACAGATGTGTTTTTCATTGTTAATGCATGTTAATCCAACCTTATTGTAAAGTGTTACCAAATATTTCATTATGTGCTATCAATATGTGCTCTAAATTCTAATAAACAGCTAATATGCTTACTATATACCATTAGTTAATAGTGAGAATTGGTGGACAATTATGACAAATGTTATTAGAACTATTATTGTGCAGCAGTGTTTGGTAAGTTACTTTAAAAAATAATTAATTACGAATTACAGTTTCTCTGAATGTATACCCTATATTTTATGAACAAATTCCAACTTCAATTTTTCTTAAGCATGATCAATCTTGATGAATCTAACCTTTTTTAGTTGAAATTTATTCTGCAAAATATATTTAAAGCAAATACTAAAGAAATACATATATAACAAATACAGTTGTTTTGATTTATACCGAACTGTCAAAATTATTTACATAATTTAAGGGAAGTATATTATAATCATCTGCAATTAAATTGCATAAAATTAACGTAACAATAAACTCTTACTTGACTTTTGTTAGCAGAGAAGTAATCTAATTACAGTAGCAAGTTACTTTTTAACTCATTACATCCAAACACTTTAATGCAAGATATTTCCAAGTTTCCTAAAACAAGCTTAATTTGAAACAACCACTATAATTATTTTATAATATTTTTTACAGAAATCTACAGTGGTGGATGGAGTGGAGGTTCCCATACATCTTATTGGAGATGCGGCATACCCCCTTAAAAAATGGCTGATGAAGGGCTTCCTGAATCACCAAATTCTAACACCTGACCAGTCTCACTTCAACTTCTGTCTGAGTTCAGCTCGAATGGTTGTTGAAAATTCCTTTGGCCGACTTAAAGGACGGTGGAGGTGTTTACTTAAACGCAACGATGTTGACATAAATATTATGTCTGATATTGTTGTGGCTTGCTGCATCTTGCATAACATTTGTGAGCTCAGGAAAGAAAGATACCTGCCTGAATGGAACACTGACCTCCAGTGTGATGTTTCTGCTGATGTTACTGACAGAGAGCACAACAGAATTACTGATGATGCACAAGCAGTTCGCAGAGCATTAGTATCACTGCTGAGTTAAAGTTAATCCAAAAAATATTACTCACCCTCCTGCTGTTTTAAACCTACTTTTACTTCCTCCTGCTGAACACAAAGAAGGGTATTTTGAAGAATGTCGGTAATCAAACAGTCGCAAGGAATCTCTGAATTCTATAGAATGAAAAAAATATATATAAAATGGAGGTTGAAGTTGCCTTTGTTCCGATTACTAACGATCTTCAAAATACCTTTCTTTGTGTTTACCAGGAGGAAAAACTGCAAGGCAAGTTTTGAACAACATGAGGGTGAATAAATGATGACAGATACTATTTCTTTGCATTTGGCATTTTCTTAAACGGCTAGCCTGATATTTTGTGTGCATGTCCACGCTTTGTGTATTCCAGTTATTTTGAACTTGATAAGAAAACCTTCTGCAAATGGATTTAAACTGTTTATTTTAGCTGGCCATGAAGCAACAAAAATCTTAACATTTTATGAATGTATTATAGTTACATATTTTGTTCATCATAAATAATATTTAGATGGTATCAACTCAATATGAACATTTATACTTTTGTGGATAGAACAAATACTTACTGTACTGCACAAAATACATATTGGTTTGTGGAAACAGAAGCAATAATAACACATATAATCAACTAATTCTTATTAAAAAATTATTTAAAATGGAAGTGAACTGTTTTATTTCAATTTAGTCTTGCAAATCTTCCAAGAATGAAGGTTTGAACTGAGGATGGTGAGAGGCATCTTCATCTTGTCCTGGAGGGTGATATGGTACCATGTAGCTAGTACTAGGGCTTGGAAAATTGAAGCTGTGAGGATGTTGGTACAGTGGATTTAAGGGAAGAGAAGTTGCCAGGGGTGGACGCATCATAATGTCCTTTAGGAGGTTCCCTTGGAACTCCATCATCTCCTTCCACATTGCCATCATGCTTGCCCTTTCTTCCTTCTGCTCTTCCTTTGCCTCTTTGCGCAACATTTCTTCATACTCTCGTTGCTGCTGAACACGGAGTGCTTCTTGCTCTCTGAATGATGTTTCCATAGTGTGTAACACTGTAGTTATGGAGTCAACAATGTGATCTTTGTTTTTTTTTGCCTTCTTCCTTGGTGGCTGAGTGAAACCTAAAAAAGGAGGATAAAAAACCCAACACAATCAATATTTTAAGTAACTAGGCATGGTTGACCCAAAAAAAACTGTTATGATTTACCCACTTCTAACTTGTTACAAAAACCTTTTTTGAAGAAAGCTGAAAACCTGTAACTACTGACTTAGGTAAACAAATACCATGGAAGGCAATGGTTACAGTTTTTCAACAATCTCCAAATATCTTATTTTGTGCAGGATAGATAAATATTTAATAATATATTTAATACAAATAAAAAACACAAACTGGTTTATAACAAGTTAAGCATGAGTAAATGATGATATTTTTCAGTTTTGGGTAAACTATCCCTTTAATGTTGACTGACAAATGCAATATAGCTTGTTGTTAGTTCATAATGCATTTAACCAAAGTCTACATGTGCAGCTTTGAAAATGTAAAAAGTTGGATTTGAAATTAATGCTACTAAAATACAGTTCTTTGTTAGTTCCTCTTATCTACTACCAACATACAAACATCTTACTATAAAGTATATTATAATTTACATCCCACATGTAAATATACTTAAGTGATTTATATTAAATGCTAGTTTTTTTTTTTAAAACACTAGTAAATAAATGTGCAATGTGCTGTATATATTATATTATTTACAACACTTTGTTAATGAATGCTCCAGCAAACTGTAGTATTACCTGACATATAGTGAATAGTATCTCACACACACACACACACACACACACACACACACACACACACACACACACATTTACATATATATAGTTGTAGAAAACTACAGTATTGGGTAATTTGTTTATATTCATAAAATTGTTACCATAGCATAGGTTAATAAAAATACTTTACTATAGCATAGTTCAAAAACACAACAGCATTTACTGTAAATTACAGTAGCATTGTATGTGGAAAAAAAGAAACAATAATATTTCCATACACGTTTTACGTTATGTCACACATTTATTAGGTAAACATTTACATAATTTTACCCACCTGTAACACAGTCCATCTGCTCAGCATCAGAAGGTGGTACCTGAGTTTCTGTCATTTGAGTCGAAGTACTTCCTTCACACGAGTCCTCGGGGGCGTTAGTTTCAGGATCAACTGAATTTAAACTACTGGACAATGCCACGGGGTTTGTAGAATGACTAGACCCCCAGATAGACTGGCAAAGATCAAAATAGGCCCAGGAAATTCTGCCACTTCCACTTTGTTTATGGTGATCGTTTACTTTGAGAAATTTTAGCCGTAGTGTTTTTAATTTGCTAATGACCTGACTCTTGGTTCTGTGGATGCCTTGTTCACGCAGACGGTTTGTTATTTTATCATAGGTTACCGCATCACTAACGGTTCCTTTTATATGACGACTAATCTCTTCGTCCGCTCGGATAGAGAGAAGGACTTTAATTTCATTGTCGTTCCAGTTTGATGCCATTTCTTTTATTTTTGTAAACCGCGCGTCAGCTGTTTGTAGCTCTACTATTTGTGAATGAGTCAGCTGTTTGTGAATGCGTCATCAGCGTAGGAATGTTCTGATTGGCCGGAGTACACACCCTACGTCAGCACGTTCTAGGACTCGTACGTGCCATTCCGGCAATGTTCCTTCTGCGTTCACACAGCGCAGCATTCCGGCAAATTACCGGTAATGTTACAACTTCTCTTTCCGGAAAATAGCCAGAACAAATTTACCGGTATTTTCAAAAAGGGACTGTTCACACATACGGACCTTTCCGGAAAATTGCCGGCAATTTTCCGGAAAGGTCTGTATGTGTGAAAGGGGCTATTGACAGTTCCTTTCTGTGGCATAAGCATGTGTTTCTCTTAAAGATGTTTGGCAAGTTTTTGGCAGACTGGTGCTGAACTTGCTTAAAATTTGTCATGAAGAAATTTATGTTTAATTAATGTATAGAAAATACCACAAAACACTTTTTGCAAAATTAAACTAAAATGTAAGATTAGGCAGAACATAAAAAGTATGTGTGCAGTAGGAGATGAAGGAACAGAAAAATGGTGGTCCTTCCTTATCAGCATGAGATCATCAATGTAATTTTGCTGTGAACTCTTTTCTGTATTTCACATGAGCAAAGGCTTCCACAAATATTTAGTCGGAACATAGAGTTTTGTTTAAAGCTAAATGGTGCAACACAAAACCATTTAGTAGAGGGAAAGTTGTAACATCCTGGTCATGTCTGTAACTTACGTTCCCCGAATAGGGAACAGAGACGTGTGTCTGTAGATAAACAGACTTTGAGAGTGCGTTAGATGACCAATCACTTCTGAAGATAAGAAAACGGGCCAATGAAATGCCAATTGAATTGCCGGAGCTTAGCTCCACAGCCCAACCTGATGAGCTCATCAACGCTATATCAGTCAGCTGTTGGAGTAAAGCTCCAGAATTGCCCGCTGAAAAGCCGATCACTCAGCTCCCAGCTGGAGACTCACATGCTGTGGCAGTGGAGATTTCCCATTTCCTATTCGGGTAATTTGGGTTACGGACGTAACCAGGACGTCCATCAGGACTCTTGATGGTAATAGAGTATATGGACTAGACCTAATGAGGGGGAGTGCTATATATGATAAGATGTTTAGCGGTTAGGGAAAGACACTGGTCCGCCTGAAAGGTGGAAGACACAGTGGTAAATATTCCATAGGCATCACCTAAACAGGGGAATGCACATAGCTGGCACCGAACCTCAGTGTGCGGGTAGACCCTATGGGCATACCAGACAACCATTATTATCGTTGGCCATGGAAATAAAGTAAACAAGATTGGTAATAGAATAAAATCACTGTCATAAATATTTTGTGCGTGAACAAATATTTTATGCATAAATAAAATTCACGCATCTGTAATTATTAAAACGTAAAGAGAAATGGAACGAACTCGTAATTTGACGAGGGTACAATTCCAAAATCTGCGATTAGAACAAAATAATTTTTTTTTGGTCTGTTTGTATACGACTTATGAATTTACAATGTGTGGGTGTACTTTACAAAAACGAATACAGTTTCACCACGGACACGTCAACCTACGAATACAAATCAAACAGCTTCACTCCACTGTCAAAATTACATTACCGCTGTCACAGGCAACAAGCGAGAGCCATCGATTGCAACAATGCGCATGCGTGATGAGACACTGAATCCAGACTGAAGGAAGCCTGCCGAGCAAAATGGCTGGGCAGTCAAGCTCCCACACACTGTCTCAGGTAAGATTTTTGTAATTCCCTCTTTGAGAAATGTCCGTCATGAGCTGTAAAAAAGGTTGAAACATAATGAGGTCCATTTTCGCTGTGTTTCTTGGACATTTTACAGAATTAAAAATAAGAACGAGCAGAGGATAGTGAGCTAGCATAATTTACGTTAACATTACAGGTAGTGAACATAGAATTTCAATGGGAATCACTTAATAGTGTTTAACTATAAAATGACATTTATTGATTAAGAAAACTTTTCAATTAACTAACTCACCAACACCCTCAGATCACCAGACAACACAAACCAAATTAGATAGATTTATCCAGTATAGGTAGATAAAACAAATATATATATATATATATATATATATATATTTTTTTTTTACTTTTATTCATTAATTGCAAGTTAAAATAAATTAGAATAAGCAAAAGATATGTGGTAATCAAACAATCACCAATCACCAATGTAGAACACAAACACAGAGAAAGAAACACACAGAATATTATAAGGTTAAAAGGTGTGTTTATGCTAATAGTTTTTTTAATTATAGTATAAAAATACAATATAACAAACATGTATTAATAGTTTGATCAAAGTAATATAATTAATAGGTTAATAAAAATAATATAACTTTAATAATATAGTATATTAGAATAATTAAAATAATTTATAATGTTTGTAATAAAATAATTTAGTAGAACTGATTAGAATCTAATTGCCCATATTATAATATATAATTTGATTAGTTTAATTACATTATAATTACCAGAATTGTAATAATTATTTAAATTGAAATTGATAAGAATGTAATTATTGTGTGTGTAAATATAATATGTGTGTGTGTGTGTGTGTGTGTGTGTGTGTTTGTGTAAAGGGGTGTGGCATAAACTGTCATTAGTCAGATTTTGACACATGCCCCTGCATTCTTTCTTGCCTTTTTATTTAAATATAAAACAACTTGAAATGGCCTCTTGATAATCAAATTAACATATAAACTTCTGTGGATTTTTTTCACGGATGACACTTTTATTAAAATGCCTCAGGTCAACAATAACAACAGTTTTAAGATGGGCATCAGATGGACCTTAACTATTTTAACTACATCCTAAATCAGGAAATTTTCCTTTTTACATCATCCACCATTTCTGAGATGCCAAATTATATTTTGGAGACTCTTCTGAACTTGCAGAGCAGGCATGTGCACACCTAGGGCTCAACCTGTGCTGTGCACATGCCCTTTTTAGTTTTGGAAAGAAAGTTCCCTTGATCGGAAGTGCCCCCGTGACAAAAACCGTCAAACATACCCCCACAACAACCCCCCGGTCTTCAAATATTTTATCCTGCACATGCCTGAACTGTTGACCAGACTCATCGACTTGGCTTTGCCAGTTTCATGTTTTGCAAATATTTTAGGAGTCAACCAGTCAACTGTCCCCAGACGCATGCGTGAACTAGGTCTTTCTACAAAAAATACCTACAGTAACCTTGCTGACCAGTAATTAGATGTGCCATTAGTGCCATTTTAGCCATCAAACAAAAAATACCAAGTGCAGGATATAGTATGGTGAAAGGTTGCTTGCAAGCAGATGGACACAGAGTTCAGTCGATCCGCATCAATGATTCCATGCATAGAGTTGATGCACCAGGCATTTTAGAAAGAATGACACAGCTGGTATGCATTGTCAGAAGATCATACTTTGTACAATAGCCTAATTTGTATTTCTGACAGCAGACACAAGAACTAGGAGAAAGTTTTCCTCTCATGCTTGAACTACATCTGACAGTTTATGACGGCTTTAACACACTTTTCAAAGTTGTGCCACGCAAACACTCCGTAATTCACTCAAAACGCTACTGAAACCTGTTTTCTGAATACAATTTACCAATTGTAAATACTGTAAACGGAAGTTCTTAACATTCTTCCTAAAGACGCTATTCGCTATGGCGCCCTCCATGCAGCTGCCAAGAAAATGGTCTGTAGGAGGATTACATTAACGTTACTAGCCGTTTTGCGAACTAGTGTAACGCATGCCTGACAGGAGTAGTGTTTGGAGGTAGGAGGGTGTGGCGATATGTAAACAGGTTATTAAGATTGGCTATTCAGTGTCGGGGTCCAGGGTTGCTGGGATAACAGGGGCGGAGCCAGCACGATTAGGCTCAGGCTGATACAGAAAGCAGCAAGATTGCAATTGAGTGCATGCTTTAATAAAGTGATATTCTGAGTTCAAAAGCGATCTTCTACTTTGCTTAACATGACAGCGAGAAGGCAGCATGTTGTCTGCCACGTCATTTAGGATGCCATGTTGAGCGTTGCTGCACTGAAAACATTATATATTATATAATATATATAATGTATTTATTATATTTATAAAGCGTACCGAACCAAAAGTCTCGTACCGAACGGTTTAATGCGAATATGTGTATCGTAACACCATTAATATATATCTACTTTTTGAATGATATAGAAGTGAGAAAATTGTCCGATTTTTTTTTTTTTTTTTTTTTTTGAAGTAAACCTATCCTCTAATTACACAGGTATTAAGGTTGGGTCGATAGAAAATGTCATCGTCCATCACCGATGGCCGATAGACGTCAAGATGCTGTGCCAGTCAGTACACTGCTTCAATCTTTCGCTTTCACGCTTGTACTTAGTCATTTTAGTGAAACCTCATTATAACAACATAGATCACTCTCCCTTTTTAAGCCAGAGTCCTGCAGGAAAAGTGATTGACAGGTGGTAATTTGTGTGTAACTTCTCTTTATTTATTGATGATTTGGTTATGAGTAAAACACAGACCAAGTGGGTCAGGTAGTTGAAACGGTCGGCTACAAATGATTAATTCATTATGAATTAATTTATTATTTATAAACAGTTAATTCACCACTGCCTATGACGACAATGCCATTATCCATCATGATGTGTCACATTAGACATCGTACAATGCCAGATTGGTCGACATCGCCCAACCCCAATAGGTAACAAATATAAAATGTTAATACTTCCTAAATACCTGGATACACCAAAACCACCACAACATGTTTTGACCAAAGCGCTGTGTCTGGTGTAGCTCGTCTTTTTGCTTTGGCAGTAAATTTTTTTTTTGGCCAGTAGCAATATATATCCTGTTGACAGATATTCAGATTAACCCTTTATATTAGATTTTAGCTGAAAAAAAATATTAGATTAGGTTTAGATACAGTTGGTCACACACAGTATTGAAACAACTTGAGCTTTATGTAAAAAGTATATAAGTAATTATAAATATCTTTTCTGTTTGTTCAAGCCAGTTGGTAGGCACTACATCAACAGTGTCATCTTGCGGAAACTTGACCACTGCGAAATTCTACAAGGAAAGTATAAGGGTTTGGTGCCAAAGGGGCAAAAGTGTGAATAAAATGATCTGCACTTAAAACCCCTTTGGCTACAAACCCTTGATAAGTGAGGTACTG